AAATGAAAATTACAAAAAATATTTTAGTTTACGTATCTTTCATAAATTTAAATACAAAAATATACAAAAATCCTTATCTTTATTTTTATATAATCTTAAAAACACAAAATATAATTTCATGTTTTATAGTTTAGTTCAATTAGTTAAGATTAGTTTTATATTTTTATATTATAAACTGTATATTTAGAATGAAGAGTTAGTTTTGGGTTGGTTTATCCCATTTTAATCTTGTAGCCCATTTTTTTCCCTTGGCCCAATTTTAAGGCTCAATAATACCAAACACATACCCCTTTAACCTAAAACCCCTTTATGTATATAAAAATACACCCTAAGACTCCTACACCCCTAAAGAGAGCTGAAACCCACCATTCCCATCGAGGACACTCCAAAAATTCCGAAGGCTAAAAAACGACAGCACACCCCTCTACGGTGACTTCTTCAGTGGACTCTCTTGGAATTAATAATGGACCTGGAGGATGCAAACGAAAACACTCCTTTTATGATAGCTTTTATGTAATTCAACTGAGGCAGATCACTTTCAGATACGAAGCTTTTGTTTCCCATAACACTTCTCACCTCTGCTTGTGCTCTTTCCATTGCTTTTGGATTCATCAGCAGCTCCGTCATTGCCCAATCCAATGTAATGAATGTTGAATCCATTCCTGCAGCAGCAGTGTTTCCGCAATTACAGTAACAAAAGTTACAACTGAGGTTTTTGCCTTTCACAGTGTTTTTGCCTTTCACAGTCGTCCCCTCCCCAAGACAATCCTTCTTATTAATTACTCTTCGGATCTCATAGAGAAGCAACAGTCGTCCACTCCCCAAGCTTCAATCTCAAAGAAATTGAAAGAGAAAAAAAATGAAAAAACCTTAAGAGGAGGAACAGACAGAATAAAGGGGAAGAGAACTGACGCTAGAAAAATGGATTAAATGTTCGAGTTTTTGGTGTCGATTCGAGGTTCCGGATCACAACTTCAGTGTTTCAGTCCAAGGATTATTGTTTTATTTAGCCCGATTAATTTGTAATTTTCAGCTTTATTCATCAATTAAAGGTCCGATTCTTTCTTATCTTTTCGGTATTAACTTTTATTATTTTTATTCTTTGTATTTTTTCCTCACTCTTGTTCGTGAACATTTGAACTTAAATGATATTAGCTGTGTGTTAGCACTCTCTTATTTTAATTAGCTCCATGTATATAATAGTTAGGCGTGATATTTTGTTTTTGTCCCATTACTGTTCAATTCATGGATATTAAGATTTTTATTGGATAAAATAAGCATGTGCTTATACCATTAAAGTAGCTGATACATGAACTCAATTTTAATTTGATAATTTAGTTCATTGGTTGTTTAGTTTCTACATTAAGTAGCAAAATTTGTTTGGATTTGAACTTTGGATTCTTGGAAGTAATGACGTGACACGGGTTAGTCTTGAAAACCAATTTGTTATGATATATAGATAAAACAAGGATTTGGCTCACTAGTAGAATAAGAGATCTATTAGCTATTGTTGTCTGTTGATGAGTCAGTATGAATTTTGCTTGGATGTGATTGAGACTTGTTTAAGAGTAATGATATACATGTACGACTTTGTTGTATTATCCGTGTTCTCGTTTAATTTGTCGAAGTTCACTTGGGAACGAGTAAGTCGGCCTCTTCCTCACAGTAATTTCTAGAATAATGCCTTGCAATAATCTCAAACTTAGAAAGAATAACTGATGAACATCGTAACTTGCTTTAGGTACGATTAATAAATTATTATGGCTATGGGTACGGTTCCCGTGGCGTAGCCACGATACATAAATCCAAGTTTGGGTGTGCATTTCATGTGACCTGATCACCACTTCGAATAATAATAAAAATAAACATGCTAAAATCTGGGTGTACATTTCATGTGACCTAACTTCTAATTTCCAACAAGGTTAAATAGAACGTGTCGTGAACCGCGAGTGCATTTCATGTAGCGTGGCTTACGATGTGTTTTAAATAACCTTGAAATTTCCTGAAATATTAAAAGCGTCTAAAATTTAAAAATGCACATAGGTTTAAAAGTATTTTTTAAATTAAATAAATGGGCCAATAATAACAGTTGAGCGGTCGTGCTAGAACCGCAGAACCCGGGAATGTCTAACACCTTCTCCCAGGTTAATAGAATTCCTTACCCGGGTTTCTGTGTTCGCGAACTGTGAAACAGAGTCAATCTTTCCTCGATCCGGGATTCTAAACCGGTGACTTGGGACACCACAAATTATCCCAAGTGACAACTCTGATTTCTAAATAAATAATCCCATTTCGATTGTCACTTAAATTGAAAAAAACTCCCTTATACCCTTCCGAATGTAGTAAAAAGGAGGTGTGGTACCAATAACATAAACACTTCACCAATTACGGTTAAATGGGGTTGCATTGTCAACTAACCTAAAACTCAACACTGATGGGTCTTTCACACTAGGGGTGCTTATCGGGCGGATGGGGCGAATAATTACACTTAACGGTTTGACTTAACAGTTATCGGATTATAAATGTAGTAATCCGCTAGCCATCCAATAAGACAACGAGTGGATTGGTATTGGATTAATAATTATCGGGCGGCTTATCGGCTAAATCAAATAAAAAAAATTGAACAATCATTCAATGAATACTAAGACTACACACACTGCCATACACATATTAACCAACACATATTCCTTTCGTCCTTATATTCTCACATGACCTTCACTTTACCGTTTACACATCCCAAATACATGCAAGATTTACCTTTTTCATATAAAAAAATTAGCTTCTTGATCAAAGGGACTATTAAATAAAGAGACGACAAGCATAAGATACTTTAACTATGGTGGAGATAGTAACTTTATGGCAATTAATTACAAAAGAGAGCAACTAATTAAATTTGAAGAAGTTATTTGATGCTGCTCATGCATGTTCTCTTTTAAGGTGTCAAATTTCATAACATACAGTATGAAATGGTCATTTTCACTTTGGTTATGGAGTAAGTAACTGTTGCTGGAATTTATTTTTTAGCGCATCTGTTTTCTGTTAACTGCTTTTGTACTTGTTTCAAATCATTTGTGAAAGTGTGATATCAGTTTCGTCCATTCCTTGTTTAGTTTCTTTATGTTTTGGATGTTTCAGGGATGCACATCTTTTATTTCTTTTCTCTATTTTTCTCAATATTTTAAATTAATTAATCTTTTAACAGAATGCATAACACATGCACATTCTGGGCATTCTCAATTACACATACATCTCATTTCATCAATATCAAGACTACGCACTATCATATATATAAACTGAATTTGTAAAACCAGAAAAGCACATTAGTTCAGTGATCAATTGAGAATTAAGAAATATAGGGTTTCAATAGCACTTTATGTACACAGGGATAAAAGTGTAAATATAAAAATTCTTAACGGTTTACCCGATAAGAAAATCGAGTAATCCGCCCTCAAACCGTTAAGCCGTTAATTATAAAATCTCAATCCGTTCTCCATCCATTACCCCGATAATCCGATACCAATAAGCCAATAAGCCATCGATTCGGTTCGGTTAACAGTTTTGGTTCGGTTTTGAACGGTCCTATTTTACAAGCCGCTATAACAAAGGAGGAATCGCGGGAATATTTCGGGATAAATCCAGTAATTGGATCCTGGGCTATAAAATGCCCGCTTATGGCTACACCCCTATATACATGGAACTCATTGCGCTAAAAAATAGTCTTCTTCTAGCAAAAAATAACAATTTTAATAACTTAGAAATTGAAACTGATGCTACTGAAATACCACAATTACTTTCCTATAATAACTGTTCTCAATATTCTAACCTTGTTAATGAGTGCAGATTGCTACTGAAGGAGCTGGAGAACTCAATGATCAGACACAATTTCCGTGAAGGGAACAGACTCACGCACTTTTTGGTAAAATGAGGGTCAAAGCAACCAAGCAATACCCCTTATCAATAATGCTCCACCCACCAAATGTTTGTTGGAAGCTGCTCCAGGAAAATAAAGCTGGGACAACTATTACTAAGCTAGTATCTTCCAATATTCTAAACAATGTAGCCGAGCTTGCGAACACTAAGGGGTCGTTTGGTAGCATGCATTAGATAATCTAATGCATGCATTAACTTTGTGTATTAATAATACATTATTTGGTAGATATTTTGAACCTATGCATTAGTTATGCAAGCATTAGTTATACATCCTATTTGGTATTATCTTATGCATAACTAATGCATAGAAAACAATGTTATTAGCAATGCAATGGATTTTAATGCATGCATTAGCTTAGTTAAAGACATAATTGTCCTTCAAAATTTATGTTTGATTAAAATATGCTAGTTAGTATATTAATGCAAGTTCAAAATAATCCAAATAGTGAGAAATAAATATATATCCCTAGTAAATAAATAAATACTTAGCATATTTCCTTTTTTATAAATAAATATTTAATTTTATTTTACAATATAGGTAGACAAATAAAATATTTTTTTTTTAAACTTTTTCATATAAAAACATTTCTCAACATATGTTTCTTTTAAAAAGTTAGAATGTGGAGTAGTTTTGAGGGCATTTTTGTAAACAAATAATTCTTTTAGAAATTGTACAATGCTTTAATACATCAAACCAAATAATGGATACGAAATATGTCAGCATAACTAATATCAACATAACTAATGCAAGCATAACTAATACCATTATTATTAATACACCTTATTCAACATTATTCTTATGCACCCTACCAAACGATCCCTAATAGTTTTTTTTAATATGATTAGCAAGACTCATGACTCAAGTGTTTTGGGTGCCACTACGGAGGCACCATGGATATGTAATGCAACTACTTAATTATAATATTTATTTCGTCGTTTCAGGAAAAAAAGTTATTTTCTATGTGGAAATAAAATTAGAATAATTCATCCATAAACACATCCATTTGCCTTCTCTTATACGATTTCCCTTCCCTTTCCCGCCCTAATACTGAAGACGCTTTCGNCCTTCCCTTTCCCGCCCTAATACTGAACGACGCTTTCGAAAAAGAAGCATCTTTAACTTCTCAAAATGTCTCAGCCGATCGCCGTGGACATTCTGTCCGACGACGACGACGACGCTGTCAACAGCGCCGATTATTTCTCCGTCAACCAAAACGACACCGTTGATCTATCGACGCCACTGGCAATTCCGTCCAAGAAGCAAAAAATTGAGGAGTCGAATACTAAATTGAAGCCCCCAGTCCTCATCATCGACGATGACGATGATCCGACACCATTTAAACCCTCAAAGTCCACTCCTTCATTTGTCGCTGATACCCCATTATCTGATTTTTCCAAACCCGATGTCTCATTTGTTAAATGCTCATTTGGTTGCTCTTCAATTTTGAACCCTAAGTCTTTAGTGAGTTCGATATTTCCTTTTCTTTTACTTTTTGACGGTTTTTCATTTGAATTTGAGTTGCTTGAATTGTGAATTATTGGATATTTAAGCTGTTATTGAAGCAATTATCCTGAAATACCACAATGTTGGACACTTTGGTTTGAAAATAAGCTTTTATTTGTTTTTGGTCTCTAAGTGATTATTTAGAAAACAATGTGAATATCTGCAATTTTGGATTTGGTAATATTCCACGTGATATTTAGTTTAATTTGTGTTCTTTTTGTGATGTGTTCAATGTCAAAAAATATACAGAAGTAAACACACCAAGAAAGCAAGGGGATTCAACGTGTAGTGTGTGTGTGTATATATATATATATATAAAAGACAATTACCTATCTACACAGTCTAAATTTCATGGGAAAGGGTCTAAATTGACTCACCTTGGACAAGGGTAGCACCACCCCTGAATACGTTATGCACTTTTGCATATTGAGTGATCATTAAGAAACCATTCTGAATTGTTTATAATTATGAACTGTATTTCACTTGAAGTTTAGTTGACCGTGAATCCCTTATTAGACAAATTATTGGTTTTTGGGTCTTTTGTGGTTATTCAGAAATTAATGTGAAATTCTAGGATACTGGACACTTGTCACTGAATTTAATTAATTCTTGTATATGGCTCTTTGGAAACTTAGGTTGTTATCTTGAAAAGTATTCTGAATTTCTGCTAATGCTGTACTCTGTTAACCTCTCTCTACATGCACTGTAGGGGTAAGGTCTGCGTGCTATCTACCCTCCCCAGACCCCACTTGTGGGATTACACTGGGTTTTTTGTTGTTGTTGTTGTTGTTGCTGTACTCTGTTAACCTACATGCCAACTTCTACATTCCTTTGTTTATTTTGGGTGGTTCGGAATGATTGCTGAAGGCTTGGTTGTAGATTTTCTCTATCACTGAGATTTCTGTTGCAATTTGTGTCTTTAAGTCTTATTTATCCGAAGCTTGGGAATTTATGCATTCAATAGTAGACTTCCTTTTTTCAAAAAAGAAAAAAAGGAAGAAGGGAAACAAGTGTTGATGAAAATAGTCTCTCCTGCAGGTTTTGATTTGACCCCATGCGTCGGAGCTTTTAAAATATAGTGTCCCAATAGTCAGATGTACTAAAGCTATTACTGTTTCACAGAATCGCTCTTCGTCAAATTTAGACCACCAAAACGATGGCGGTAAGTTTTCAATTGGCCTAATTCAAAGTTATTATTGAATGCCGAGTATTGTCACATCAGATTTACCACTATGAAGGGACTTCTTTTCTTGGGTTTTAGATTAGTGTCCAAGAGGCAAACATCTGACACCAAATCTTTTCTTCTATGAAGAAGATAATTAATTCCCATAGCACAAGTCAGAGATGGTCTAAATCCCAGCAATTTAAATTGAGAAATAGCAAAAATTACAAGCGACAGAAGAGCTACAGCAAAGGAGCTGTATTATGCAGAGAAATATGGAAAAGGTCAGGGAAAAAATTTGGGAGAGTTCATATCTAGAGATTTGTGTGCAAGTCAACTGTGCAAAAACTCTAAAATGCATAGGAAATGAATTATACTCCATGATAATTTGGAGAAGGTGTAATACGTAACAGTTAATTTATGTTAGTATCCCAGTTAAATCATTTGGTCCTTCTGTCATTAGTTAACGTTATAACATCAGTCATCCTCAGTTTCCTGATTTATATTCTTTATTTGATGATAACTGTTACTCCATTATTTTATAGTGATGGTTTTGTCATCATCGTTCAATCCAGAAGCTTGACCATTAGGCGTTAGTTGATGTATCATGGGCATTATAGTTGCTTTTCCTTCTAGGCAGTATGAGCCTACAAGGGAAAGTTGGGGCTTAAGCTTTCATATTATTATATAAACGAGCATTTCCAGGCCCTTCTGGAACATTGCTTCTCCAACTTTACTAGTTCTGTATAAAGAACATGAAATGGTGCAAATGCTCGGGCGAAGTAGTTGATCGCCTTCTGATACATTGCAAGGTGGCCTTGGGTCTCTGGAGGATGGTCCTGAACTGCTTTGGTACACAGTGGGTAATTCCAGGTACTGTCAGAAATGTGTTGCTCAGAAGGCTGTCAGAAGTAGGATCAAAAGACATAGGGCTTGGAAGGTTGCTCCGCTAGCTCTCATGTGGGTTATATGGAAGGAAAGAAATAGGAAAGCGTTTGAGGGGAATGAAAATGATCTTGTACATTTGAGGAATAGCTTTTTTTCTTTGATTGCTTTTTGGTGCATCTTGAGATTCCAATTTGTATAGATGATCGAGTATCTTTCATAGAGAATCATGCTTTGCTGCAGATCCTCTACTTTTTGGTATACCTCTTGTATACGGGAGTTTTTATCCCATTGATTAATAAAATTACTTACCTTATATAAAAAAAAAGAACATGAAATGCATTTACAGTATCTCTGGTCTGCCACCAGAATGTGACTTAAATTAAATGTGCCACATTCCAGTCACAATCTGTCCTTAAAGAGTCAAACCTCTTTGCCCAGTGTGTTTACCTGTTTCCTTTGGACACATATCATGTTAACTAATAGTAGCAGACTTCTGTAATTCTTCTTCATAAATGGACGAGTGGAAGTTCGGTTTGCTCTTCGTGCTGCATCACAATGACTGCTCCTATGAGTTGTGTTGCTATTCAGTTATTGTGCACAAAGGCAGATTCTGCGTGTGCCTTGAGTCGAGGTCAGGCATAATGGTTTGAGCTAGTCAGGTGTATACCTCATATGTATTTTCCTCCGGTGCAAGAACAGGACGATTAAGGGGATATTTTGGTCTTAATACATATTTAGTTTTTACTAAAATGGGCACATTGGCATATGGATTAAGTTTATATGAAACAAACGACAACCTAGCTCTCATATACTTGTAGAATTCTTCTCATTTGCTGGTCTAATTGGGTATCCTATTTTCTGGGAGCAACACTTAACAAAAGAAATGTCAATCCTCAGAGGATTCTCTTATGCCTCGGGGTTTTGTCCACACCTTTCCTTGCACAGGTGGACTGATATAACTCAGAAGGGCTTGCACCACTATTTTGGTAGATTTTGTTTGAAAAGATATATTTTATAGATTTGCCTTTATGAAAGGTTTTTTCTTATGCAGTTCTTTGACTTGAATGTGCGGCTCTTCTGAGATGTAAGCTTTTCTTCAGGTATTGATGGACTAATTTGTTTGGAGTCTGATAATGAATCTGAGGATAGTGGCAAGCTTGTTTCCTGGAATGAGGAGGAGAAAGTTTGTTCCACTAACGCAATTGTAAAGGAGACAGAATTGAGCTCCAGACCTTTTAAGTCCACAAATGGTAAGCTACTGTTTTCTAATCTTCCCTCTAAGTGACAACAGATGTCTTTGCATCTTATCGTCACTTCAATAAGAAAATAAAGAAGTAATTTTTCCATGCTGGAATTAACATTCATGTTATACAACTGAGACGAAAAACTGACGAACAGGTAATGACAATTTTATGCGAACAGCAGAGGATGTTTCTCATCGATATTTGATTGAAGCTGGTCCTTCTCTGGTGTGTTTCCCTGGTTAAAGTTTATTGTTTTTCTTTCAGTATTTGCTTTTTCTGCATAGCAATAATTTTTCATTCCCTTGTTCTTCTTAATATGAATAAGAATAAAAACATCCCCCTTCCGCAGCTCCCTGCATTTTGTCCATGTGTGCCCCTCAAAATGAAAGGCCAGCTTTCAATGGGAGATTGAATTATGGTTGGACCATTCCTTGGAATGTGCATCATTCAAAGAAGATTGTAAGATTTTTGCGTGGGTAGCACGAAGGAAGAAGAGAATAAAAAGAAAAGCACATGCTCGATTAACTTTAAAGGGCTTCTGGTACTCTAACTACTAAATATATCACTGGAAATTAAGTTGATTGGACATTTGTTCAACTTTATAAGCTAATAAAGATACCCCATAATTTGCTTCAGGCCTAGGAATATTTTGGGTGTGTGTGTGTGTGGGAACCATATACTGCCTGTAAATTGGAACATGAATAAGGGAGCGAGACATAGTTGTGGATATTCAATTTCAGCTCTATTTGCTTATTGCCAGAGCGTAAACTGCTTTTCTATCGTTTCTCAAGTTAAAGTTTGGGCTCATTCTTAATTAAGAACAGATTTTACTGTTTTAACTCTAATGCGAAGTTCCTCCAAATTCCAGTCAAATTTACTTTTTATTGTGCTGTCAAATCTCATTTTGTCGGACTAAAATAAAGTTTTAATTGAATAAAATGGGATTTCAAAAATGAAAAGAGTCTGTGGAAGGAAAGAGTAGTCGGNTTAGGAATATTGGGGGGGTGGGTGTGGGAACCATATACTGCCTGTAAATTGGAACATGAATAAGGGAGCGAGACATAGTTGTGGATATTCAAGTTCAGCTTTATTTGCTTATTGCCAGAGCGTAAACTGCTTTTCTATCGTTTCTCAAGTTAAAGTTTGGGCTCATTCTTAATTAAGAACAGATTTTACTGTTTTAACTTTAATGCAAAGTTCCTCCAAATTCCAGTCAAATTTACTTTTTATTGTGCTGTCAAATCTCATTTTGTCGGACTAAAATAAAGATTTAATTGAATAAAATGGGATTTCAAAAATGAAAAGAGGCTGTGGAAGGAAAGAGTAGTCGGTTGACAACATCAGCAACGAGAAGGTTAGATTGAACTGGAGAGAGAAAGAGAGAGGGAGAGAGAGAGAGAGAGGGAGGGAGGGGGTGGGGGAGCGAGCGAGAGAGAGAGAATAGGTAAAGCTTTCTTACATTGGACACGTCGAAGGGACGCAATACCTAAAGCCTTGGAGTACAATAATTTTGCTGCACCAGTAAAACGGCGCTGACTGAGAGGGAAACAGAGTAACTGCGAGAAAGAGGTGAGAGGGAGAGATTGAGGAAGAAAATGAGGGGGAGGTTTAGGGCTGTTGAGCATGGAGGACCTGAGGTGGAAAACAGAAAGCCTAAGTGCTATTTTTTCCAGAGAATAAAATATGGAAGAAGTCCTTCATGAACAGGTTTTTTCCCCCTAGTTAAGCTTCACTTAGGAGAGTTAGTTTTGTTCGTGAACCACTCATTTCATTTAAATACAGCTACCTGTACACTGCAAATATCCAAAAGGTTCAAAAGTTACTTCTGAGGATTTCTTTTCTTTTTTTAAAAGTGATCAGAAGAATAGAAGAGTTTCAATCTAATATTAGAGATCTATGCACCCTGAAGAGCAAATTCACATCCAGGACTATAGGGCGCATATTCTGCCAAATGGAGAACGCATCTTGAGATCATAATTCAATCCAGAGATATGCTTGAATAATTAGCTTGAAGGATGCGCTCAAAAGCATCGTTCTTAACATATGTTTGTAATTTTATCTAGAAGTTCTTTTAAATTCTCGAAAGGCCTGGTCTCTACATAAATTTTGACGGTCTAGTTTGCTTTCAGGACCATGGTCATCCTGACGACGAAAGTGATATTTTGGAGTTAAACGATGACATCTCAAGACCGACAGGTAAAGGCAAAGGCAAAGGCAAGAAAAGTAACACAAGCAGTGTAGATGGAGTAACAGGGAAAATGAGGATGTCAAAGGATGAACGTCTTCGCCTAAATGAAGAAAAGAAGCAGCAGAAAGAGGTAAGTCTTCCCAACAAAAACCTATTTATTTAGACGAGGTTAATTAGTTATGGCATATAATCTGTGTTCATTATATAGCGAGAGAAATTGCAAAAGGCGGCCCAGAAGGCTGAAGCTGCAGAGATAAAAAAGCGAGAAAAGGAAAAGGAAAAGTGGGAAAAGGGAAAGTTTGCCCATAAGTCTATTGTAGCTCACATTGACACCAAAGTTGTGGAACTAGGCTCGATCGGAGGTAGATTTTGTTTTTCTGTTTGTTTCTCCCTTTCTCCTTTGTCCATTATTATGCATTACAACTGTCTTACATGGTTATGTTGTCAAGTCAGGTCATTTGCTATCAAGGCTTGCGGAAAAAGGTCTTTCCTTCCGAGTTTCATCAAATCCAATTGAAAAGTCTATTGTGTGGTCAATAAGTGTTCCGGAGGAAATATCAAAGGTAACTTATTCTTCAGAATCTTGGCAGATTTCAGTTAGCNAAAGGTAACTTATTCTTCAGAATCTTGGCAGATGTCAGTTAGCCTGTCATCTCGAAGCACCTTTTTATAATTGCTTTTTAACGTGTCAAATATTTAACTTTTGTACACATTTAGCTTTATTAGAATAATAATAGTTTCACAACTGACTGTATTTGGTGCTCAAATATGTACATATTTATGTGATATCCATTTGAATGTTGATTATCTTTGCAAAAGCAAATTTCTTTTTCCTTATCTGGTAATAAAATTTCACGTTTAAGGTTACACACTCCTGTAGAGACCAAACTCCATCAATTCAACTCAAATCTCATAATACCCAAGTTTTAATATTACAATTTAACCAAACCTTTTACATATATGCGCATGTATGTTTGTGTCCAACATTACAATTTAACTCAAAACCCTATAGAGATGTGTGTGTGTGTATGTCAAATAAGATGAAATACCTTGTTATTTTGAAGTTTTGTGGCTGTGGCTCAAGTGCAAATGGGTGTTGATATCCTATTACAGCTTGTGGAATTAATGCGGCTGGAGGGTTTTGGTGGC